GAGAGAGAGAGAGAGAGAATTCGCTTTTTGGTCTCCGAGCACTTCGGATATTCGTTCGTAGCGATACCTTGCGCGCCACGCCACTCCCTCCTCTCCCCCCTCGCGCTTTCTGTGCGCGTACACGCGCGCATTATCTCGACGAGGATGCTCGACGTGATAGGCGCGAACGCGCACGCGGTGCGGGACGAGGCGTAACGCTCTTTGTCCCACGCCTCCGCGTCGATTTCCACCGACGGGGTAGGGGGATGGGTTCGCGGCGCGAAAAGTTCCGGCCATGCTCCGTCGGTCATGAATGAACGACGGGGCGAGGGACGAGGGGGAGAATAGGAGGAGCGGGGAAGGGGATCGTGTACTACGGCCTACTACGGGCTCTGTAGTACGCGCGCCGCGGCTGACGCGATGATTTTGTCGCGGCGAGATACGCGTGTGATAAAGAAGGACGGGAGATGAGAAAGAGAGAAAGCCAAGAAGGGTGGAAGTCGCACAGCCGCGCGACTGGTCTCGCCTCGCGTCTTAGTCCCGTGATCGAGATCGCGAAATCGCCGATAGCTCCGCGCGGAAAAGCCGCAACGATCCGGAACGAGTCGCCTCGACAAGTCGGAATCCTCGCGCTTCCGCCGGGCGCGAAATCATTTTGTTCGGATTGCGAGATACTGTGAGATTCCTCGATTCGATGTGACCGAATCGAGGAAAACCTCGAAAACGGAATATTGAATTGTTTGGATTTTTCATCGATTACTGTGACTGTTACAGAAATGCTTATAAATCAGTTTTTAAATGTCCATGAAAAGGCCGGTGAAAATAAAAATTCGAATAGATATCGATGTAAAAATAATTTTGTTGGGTCATCAAAGTCATGTAGAATACTTGCATGATGATAAAAATACTGTAAAAATTTTTGATATTTTAGCGCTTTGAATTCTTGCATAATTATTTGATGATCCATCAAAATTATTTTCAAATCGAGATCAAATTTTTAAATACTTTAGTAAAATTGTCCCTTCTATATAATTGTAATATAATTTGTTTGAAATTATATATAAAAAGAAATGTATCTTTGAAGTTTGGATACCGTGTTATTTTTAGGAATAACCAATCCTCAATAAAGATCAAATTCAATTATGATAAATCGGTATCAAACACATTTGGCAATGTTTTTTTATCATGCAATGCGTCTCCGATAACGAACCTTAATGAAGCATCGGCATCTTCGTTTTACCGTTGATCCGATTTATATTTCCGCTGCGCAGAAGTCCCGCCATGATTTAAGAAATCCCACAGGGGATTCCCGTTAACGAGAATGTGTAAACAAGCCGCAATCCCGCACGAAACGC